GCATATGCGATGCGTTGTTAGAACGTATCGCAGTGCTTGACTTTTTTCTCTTTTTAAAATAACATTAATTTAACTGTGTGGCAGCGCATGGCAAAGCGTTGTGATGCATTGCCGCGCGTTGTGATACTCTGTGTTGCGATTAAATGTATGTGTGTAGCCTATTATCACAACACACCACCAACCAACACAGCGCACAAACGATTTTTAACATATGTCGCTTATTTACAGTTTTGCTTTCCTTCATTTTGTTTACTGTTTCGGAAAAAGGCGCAATTTAGAATTTACAAATATTTGATATTTATTTAGTCAATAAAGTTTAATCTCTTAAATTTAGTGGGAAAAGTATTTTTTGTTTGCACTGATACTGATTTTAGTGTGCTTTTATCAATTGAATTGTGTGTTTTTATCGGTTTAATATTGACTTGACAAACATTTGCGCAATTATCGCAGGACCTACAAAATAGTAGCACCAGCTTTTTATTCTCCCGGGCCTGCGCTTTCAGAAAATATATGATTTGGGGGGTCTTTTACAAATGCTAGCAACGCACCTGTAGAAAATCAAAACAATGGGAAAAATTGCAAAAATGGTGTGGCTAACTGAGGTTAACAGCGTTCCGGAGGGCTTGGCAGCGAAAGGGTTAATTTGCTTGAAATTTCAATCATTCATAAATATTCTGTTGCAATAGATTTTTATTAAGTAATGTATCACATTCATAGAGTTCAGTCACATGACTGGGCTCTCTTCCGATCATGCAGTGCTCTGTGCAGTGTTTTGCATAGAACGCTCCATTGGACACCTCTGGTTCCGCTTCATGCCTTTGTGTTGGCCGAGCCTAGTGACCGCCACTACGCTGGTGACACCCATCAAAAGTTGTCGCTGGCCCAAAACAAGAATGCAGAAGAGAAAATATTAGTCCGAAATCCTTATCTGCATACTTGCTTTGAGTCATTGGGGTTGATTTACTAACCTTATAAACACACCACGAACATGTATACACCTCTGCAGTGTGTTCCCTCCTAGCATGATCTATGGGTGGAATCTAAACACCTTTGTAATGTGTACACACCCAGCAGGTGTGCTGTGCAAAGCCCTGAAGGAATTCCAAGGTGATGTTGGGTAAATTAGCTCTATGTTGTGTTGCTTGCGTTGATGAATGCAGGAATGTAAATGCATGAGCTAACCATTTTTGTCTAAACTGTGAAGCAGCATTATATATGCATCATGTGCATGATTTTTCCATATATGGCATTAGTGGAAATATGCTTTTAGAGACTTTTTGGTTGATAAATACGTTTTGCTGTGTGAAAATCACACACACCTGGTGTGTGTGTGTGTGTTTAGGTTAGTAAATCACCCCCATTGACTCAAAGTATTAAAGCCAGGGGATCAGCGTAACAGCCTGTCAATTAGCATTTGCAGAATAAACTCGGCAAAGGCAGCCTCCATATTTCTCTGAGGAAAGGACCCCTTTACGTACCTACCCTTCCCACTCACTTCCTGATATTTCACTTTTGGAAGGGTACATAAGAAAGATTGCAGTAGGAAAACTAACACTTTGTCGGAAAACAACTGTTTCACAATCCATGTACTGTAAGTTTTAGGGCCGGTGCACACCTAGGTGACACCTCACCGCACGGCAATCGTGCACGAATCCGTGCAGATTGCCACACGGTTAGGAATCGCCTCGGTGTGCACCGATCGCACTGTGGGTGCCGTTATTTTCTAATGGCACCCCAGTCGCGCTGGGCGGTTTGGACGGTTTCCTGCCGCGATTCCACCCGTGTTTCCAAGCACGATTGCGGCTAAAACAGCCATGCGTCGTGTATCGCAAAAAAAGGTACATGTACCTTTCTTCTGCGATTGCCGTGCGGATGTCACCCCATTGAAACCAATGTGGTCGCGGCCTGCATTGTGCAGGATCGCGCAATCCCGGATCGCGTAGAACTGCATCGGGCCTTACATAGGATGAATCTCTTATGGCCAGCGTCCTGAGCAAGAGAATGGGCAATAATTGCTCTCCTCCTGTATAACCAAAATAAGTTCAGTCTGGGTTTGTGTCATTCGGATATTTCTATAAAGAAGGAAAATAAGCATAAATGTTCCAGTGCTCCATGCTTGGGTTACGAAGGAGAGATTAGCATGATGTGTGGTCTGTCTCTGTGCTATGGCATGTTCTGTTTGGGTAACCAATTTGCATGAATGCTGGAAGCAGTTTTTTTCCCCAATTACTTCTTCAGCCTGCGATTGTTACTTTCTGATACATTTTGGCATTGATATGCCATTGGGGACATTACGCTCCATTGACTTAGTTTTTTTTCCACTGTGTTTCCAGAGTACTAGCCATAAAGTTCAGCACAAGTGCAGTTATTGATATATAGGTGGGGGAACATATTGCACATATATTGTATTTAATGTCACAAGGGAACTGAACTATTCTTTGGGACAACATGTCTGCCTGTTTCTGCTGGGAACAAGCACAATTATTACTTTTTTTTTTCTTCTTTTTAATTTCTGGAATCCTTTCTCAGTAGAGCAGTTGCAAGACCTCTAAATTATTCTCTGGTCTAGCTTTGCTGATCATAGGCCAACTGCCGACGAAGATTTAAATGATCGAAAAGCTCGCTTTTTTGTTTTGTTTAAAACAGGTCAGATGCCCAGGAATGCAGTCAAATTATAATGGTCTCCAAGTGCCGGAAGATGTAAAAGGGAGAGAGAGAGGAGAGAAAAATGCACCCTGAGCTTTGAAAGAGGGCTGGGAAAATGGAGATTTAGGCAGGCCCTGAGGCCAGGTTAGAGATTCCTACATGTATTAACAGCTAGGTGTGATGTTTATATACACGAGACTAATCGTTTCTTGCGTGGCCTCTCCTTTTAAAACAATAACTAATGGCTGGGAGCCAGTCTTACCCAAGGATCTACCATTTTTCCACACATCAGATTCTTCATATTGTAGTCATTTGCTGGAATGATTACTGGTTCTTTGAATTATTTGTGTTTTGGATCTAGAAGTGGCTGGGTTATTACTTGGTTGTAATATTAATTTATCCTTCTCAAATGTATAAATAAGGGCTCATTGAACCACACACTTGCTACTGTTGGATGAAAAAGAATGTAAGAAAACCCTTTTAGTGATGAAAAAAATGTTAAAGCACAGTGCAGTGCACCTGTGTCTGAAAGTAAAGGTTGTTAGACCTTCACTCGCAGGGCCCTCTCTACTGTCCCCACTGACATAAACATGTATGCTCAGCGGAGCTGCTCTGCTGAGGTTTCAGAATAAGGTAGGTCATATCCTACTTGCACAGTTTACACCTTCCCCAATGTCTTCAGTCAGCTTTACAATTTGCAGCCTATGATTTTTTTGTAGCCTGTGATTTTTATTTGTGGTCTTTATTAGAATTGCACACATTTGCTTGGTAAGTCTAAAGAGTTATTAAACCCTCACTTTTTTTGCATATCTCTACTGCTAGCGAGCAGTAGAGATATATGCAGTAACTTAAAAAAAAACAAAAAACCCTTTGAAACAGGTTTAAACTCACCATGTGACACAAGGTAAGTCTATGAAGCAGCGTGCACCTGCACAGACTCCGTGAGACATCAGAGGAGGACAGAGGAGTTGGCGCTGGATCGGAGCCCCGCACCAGCGCTGGATCGGAGACCCGCACCAGCGCTGGATCGGAGACCCGCACCAGCGCTGGATCGGAGACCCGCACCAGCGCTGGATCGGAGACCCGCACCAGCGCAGGAGGGACAGCTGAAAAGGGCAGTAAAGAAGCAGAAAAAAAAACAGAATTCAAGTCATATGCCTGTGTGCCTAGCCCCTATAAGAAATAACACTGTAGGTTCTTATTATCCAGGGAGTAGCCGATTGATCTTGGGAATGAGCAAGGAATAATTTTTCTGTTGCAGCTAATTGAAACATGGTTCATATTAGTTTTTAGCCTTCCTCTAGATCAGTGGTGGGGAACCTCCGGCCCTCTAGCTGTGTGAAACTACAAATCCCATGATGCATATGTCTCTGGGATTCATGCCTGTGGCTGTGAGAATCTTGCAATACCTCATGGGATTTGTAGATTTACCACAGCTAGATCAACTGTGAGTTTAAGGTTCTGTGGATGCAGGTTTTAAATTTTATTTATTTACTTCTTAGGTGAACTTTGCGGGTATTTTCTTTCCCTCCAACCTGCTCAACTATGCAAGTATAATGAATTTCTAAAAGCGCAATCGCTATTTTTTTGGGGATGTTCATGCACAATATTGTACAGTCAGTCACTGATTTTTAGGCATTATGTTATTATTTAGCAATCACAAAGTAACTCTTTAGCCACTGATCTTTGGAAGCCACATGGTTTTTGTTTTCACTATCATAATAGCCAATAGTTGCTTAGTTAACTTTGATCTTTACTTGAGCATGGGTTTAGGTAGCGTTGTAGTCCAGTGTTCTAGTACAGATGGTGCAAACCTTTAGTTACCCATGCATGTAAGAAATACCATGATGTTGGCAAAATCATGTAACCCGTTAAATGCATGGGGTCTACAATATTACCAAAGATAACCTCAAAACAATGGCAGTGCATAAAATAATGAAGCTTGCAGGTTGTATATTTGTAGTCCAATCTGCCATTGGTTGACCAAACTATTTTTCAATTACTCCGGTTTTCTCATTGGCCTTTCTCTCACTGATTGACTTCTGTATGAGTGGGTATTGGTGCAAGAATACTACTTATAACTTTTGATATGCATGCAGTAATTAAACCGATGATCTCATACTGTTTGACAGGATAAAGTGTAATGGTATTCACCATGTCATAAACCAGAGCAATCATACTTTCTCTGACCTGACTGCTAAAATTCATTATTGCTTCTTCCACATTATCTTTGCATTGTTGAATAAGCTATATTCCACTTTCAGACATGTTTGAAATATTCTTTTCTTATTGAGATATGTATCAAACTGAATATTTTAGCCTAAATTATAAGGATTAATACATTTTTTTTTCAGGATTTCCGAAATCCCTGTGAAGGAAAGAGTACGTATTTCTCAAAACTGGAAATATGGACGTTGCCAGCGCCATACGATACTTAAATGGAAACGAAAGCAAGTGTTTTTTACTTTATTTTTTTTTTTAACATTGGGGGCCTTATTCAAAAAAACCTTCTTATGTGTTGCAACCCACAGCAACCAGTCATTTTAAGCATGTATATCTTTATTGAATTTCGTAGAATACATATCAACTGGTGGTAGACGAATTATATACAATGGTATACAGTCATGCAGCCAGCCGGCTACATTTCGTAGGCAACTTATGCATTTTCGTCATTAAAACAAATATCGTGATTTTATATCCTCGACAGCCTTTTACTAGAAATAACAATAATGTCATGAAAGTAATATGAGGTAAGAAGTAAGAACACCCCCAGATTGTTTTCAGTATATGTTAGGATGATGTCTAGGGGTACACGTAAGGATGTAATAGAGGAGATGAAAAGGAGAGGGAAGGGGGAAAAGAGTAAGTTATAGATACACTAAATCATGGGTACGATTGAAACGTGTATGGTTGAAGCATGTATGATTGAAATGCAATGCAATGAGTATCTGCTAGCAGATGGGAGTTCACCTGGGTGTGGGCGTGAAAGGAAGGAAGGGCAATGAAGTTCGATGAGATGGAACATATACACCTATGTAGCCGTAAACACCTTCATATGTTATTAGAGAGACATAACTATGCGTATTTAAACATACAAGTCATAAAACATCAAATTCGCCTAAGGACAGATTTAGCCAGGAGATACCAAGAGGAGTATTGAAATAGGGACATCACATCTTGCAATCTTGATGTTTAGCCATTTTGTGCAACAAGAACTTAGTCCAGGTCTTAAAGAATTTATCTGTAAAATGTAGGTTGGGTTTAGTGTCAAGTTTATGGATGAGCTTGAGGTGGTGTAGAGTATTCCGAACATCTGCTAAAGTGGGTGGAGTAGTAAGAAGCTAAGCTCTAAGGATGGTTTCTGATTGGCTGTTGTCGCTTAGTAATTGCAATAAAAGATAAAAAATAATTATTGAGTTTGATTCTGTTGTGCATGTTTGGAAAATTACCAATATTATAAGTGATGTTCATCTTTTATATTTGTTATGTTGTATAAAAGAATCAGAATCAAGGGCCAACTCTAGCAAAAACCTTTCATTTTGTTTTTGATAGAGTGGAGAAGGGTAAGAGGCTCTTGCAGGTTTTTATTACTGGTTTTGTTTCTGGAGGGCCAACTTACTCCCTTTTCCTGTCAAGATAAGGAGTCATCCCAAAAGCAACACAGACAAAAACACATTTCTTTCTCATTCATTAAGGGATACAGGATTTAGTTATTCAGTGACAACTGGGTTATACTGCTGCCTTTAGAAGGAACTGGACACTGGCAAACAAAAAGGTAATTGTCCAGCCTGGTACAACCCCACTCCCATCATGCTTTAGTTTTTTCCTAGTGTCCTAGGAGGGTGGACATTTTTTTTGTCTATTGAACAAATTATCTAACTATTTTTACTTGTCATTTTCTCTTTTTTTTTTTCTTCAATCAAGGCTTCATCTACATGCTGCTGAGCTGGGCTCTGTTAATTTTGACAGCAAATTTCGATTTAGTTTTAGTCTTTTGACTAGAATACCATTTCGTTTTCATCATATTTTAGTCATAGGAATTGTTTTAATTTTAGCCTAGTTTTAGTCGACTAAATATCATAAGATTTTAGTCGATTAAAGCTACAGTAGACTTAGTCTACTGAAATCTAGTGAGTTTATTTAAAGAGCAATTTAAGAATTTCTCTAGAATTTCCAATCTCATTATACATTATCATTATATTATTGCATTGCACTTGGTGATGTAAGGCTTGGATGCAGCTGCTCGGCCATGGAAACCCATTCCATGAAGCTCTCTACGCACTGTTGTTGTGCCAATCTGAAGGCCACATGAAGTTTGGAGGTTTGTAGCTATTGACTCTGCAGACAGTTGGCGACTTCTGTGCACTGTGCGCTTCAGCATGCACTGACCCTGCACTGTCATTTTACGTGGCCTACCACTTTGTGGCTGAGTTGCTGTTGTTCCCAGTTGCTTCCACTTTGTTATAATACGACTGGTGACCGTGGAATATTTAGTAGCAAGGCAATTTCACGGATGGACTTATTACACAGGTGGCAACCTATCGCGGTACCACGCTTGAATTCACTGAGCTCCTGAGAGCGACCCATTCGTTCACAAATGTTTCTAGAAGCAGTCTGCATGCCTAGGTGCTTGATTTTATACACCTGTGGCCATGGAGGTGATTGGAACACCTGAATCCAATGATTTGGAGGAGTGTCCCAATACTTTTGGCAATATAGTGTATATGTATAGGGTGGTGACAGGGTCACTTTAAAGGGCTTTACTGCTTTAATATAGAAATTAATTCAAGGTAACATCTGTCCATGTAACACCCATCTGCATGGCAAATAGAAATATGACATAGCCTATATGTAACTGTGAGAATTATTACCAGATTTTTTGTAAGGTATGTTAGAAGTGATAAAGTGAGACAGTTATGGCTTAGCTATTAATTTTCTCTCAGCAAATATTTGCTCACTCCTTTGATATACAGCTAAATTATACCATTTATATGATCCGACCTCCACTGAAAATAACAGAGGCTTTTGTACTTTACCCCTTTAAAGTACTTACAGGTGCTGGGGAGGTAGTGCCTTCATTAGGATGTGTAATATCATCTGGGAAATAAAGAAAACACTAAAGTATAAGGCGGCACTTATTACAAGCTATTCTTTCATTTATTAGTCTTAAGATATATGAGGCAGTCTTAAGATATATGATCCAATTAAGAGCACTGAAAAGAGGGTTCAGAGAGCAGGCCTCTTTGTAGCTGCCATTCTACTGCACACTCGCTAAGATAAATAGATCAGAGCAGGATCTCCTGTCCCATAAAACATCTTCTGCTACTGCCACTGATGCTTCATAATCATCTGTTTGTGATGACAGAGTTTGCTGGGAAATGACTCTACTGTCATTGAGAATCATTACGCCTTGCTTTGACTGTATGAATACTTGCAGGATGAGCAATACCTTACTTCTGCCATGCTGGGGACATAACAATAACTTTCCTGCTCTAAAGCAGAAATGTTTTATTGAATCATCTTTAAGAAAAGAAACTTCTATGTGGAATTGTTATGAACACCTAAAATGATGACACGTAATTCCAAACAAGAGTTTAAAGGAGAACTATGAGGTGAGTGCTTTCCACTCATCCTCATAGTTAGAGCTGACCTGTGACAAAGAAGCTGTCACAGGTCGGCTCTATTGATCGGGAAGTGAGCAAACACATACCGTCGCTCGCTCACTTTCTGATCATCTCCCTGCAGAGAGCGGTGACTAACAGTCACCGCTCTCCGCAGGGATTCCCCCCTCCCCTCTCCGATCCTACAGCGCTGAGTGGAGGAACGGACGGGGAGGGGGCTGGCACAGCTTGTTCTGCCTCTAGATGGGCAGAGCCAGCTGTCACTCACGCAGCTGGGTGGATCTCGACACTATTGTCGGGATTCTTTCCGGCTGCGGAGCTCTCAGTATATCGCGGGCAATAGCCTGCGATATACTGAGCTTTGGTTCACGAGAGGAGGTTAGTATATGTCCTCCCGTGACCCTAAAGAGAACTATGGGGAAAAACACTTACCCCGTAGTTCTTTTTTAAATAAGATGAAGTAAAACAACTGATACTCATTGCTTATTTGTAGCCCTGTTTTGGGCATTTGTATCTAAAGCTTGAGGTCCCTGTGAAATGAGACGATTGTTGCACAAACCAAATGATTTTGACTACATCCGGCAATAGTTGCTCCAATATATGGTCAAAAGTTTTGTAGAGCCCATCCTTCACATTTACTGTATGACCAAAAATATGTGCGTACCCCCTCCAAATGATTACATTCAGTTGTTTCCATTGAAGGGTTGGGTTAATGCTACAGCATACAAAGGCATTTTAGACAATTGTTTCAACCTTCTAATTCCAACCTTGTGACAATAGTTTGAGGAAGGTTCTGCTTGGTTCTTGCATGACTGTTCCCCTGCAAAAAGCCAGTCCTGAGATGGCTATGGAGCAATCCTTTTCGCCTGTACCCCTGAAATATATTCATTGGCTCCCAATACATCAGCTTCATGCTCAACTCGCTCATTCCCTTGTCGCCCAACCCCAAAGGCGGAGAGGGGAGACACCTTAATTTGGCTTTCAAGGTTGCTACCGGTATTAGATCACCCTGACTTTATTCCTGGTAGAGGTGATAGATATTTTTAGAAACTTTGCGAGGCAGGGAAGTGCAGGCTAAACGCTTTTATGGTGGGTGATCGTGTTCTTTCTGGAGAAGAAATTAGCACCCTGATTGACCCCTCCTTTTTGAATCTTTGAAGGTCCCAGCAAATAAGCCATTTCATTTCTAGCCTTGGTCTGTTTTGAGTCCCTAAGCGGTGGGCAGTCTCTGAACCATAGCTCTGCTCTATTTGTTCTTTCTGCTGGGGGTTTTTTTTCTCCCTTATTGTTTCTTACCTTTCCTTAATTTTGTTCTTATTTAGAGAAGTTAAAATCCACATGATTAGCAGAAACTGCTGAAATTACACTGTTGACTTACCGGCTCAAGCCCGGTTTTCCTTTGTAATATTTTACGAGTATGAAACTTAAATGCAGGTTTTCTCATTTTCTCATGATAAAGTTTCTACATTTTGTTATGGAAATGTTTTTTTAATTCTTCTGTTACTTGTGTCCATAAATAAAGAATAAAAAAAAAGCCAGGCCTGGCATCAACCAAACTAAATTCCTTTGGGATAACTTGAACACCTATTACAAGCTAGGTCTTGCTCTGTTGACTGAATGGTCACAGATTACTACAGACTTTTTTCAAAATCTTATGAAAAGCCTTCCCAGAAGAGTGGAGGCTGTTATAGCTGCAAAGAGGAAGGGGGTGCAACTCCATATTAATGCCAATGGTTTGAGAACAGGATGTTCAACAGGCTCATATAAGTGTAATGGTCCACAATATTTTGTCCATATAGTGTATGTATGAATTGGCAGACAGCTGATTA